AGTAGGGATGCCATTATACCAAAACATGCCTTAAAGATCCTGGTAAACCATCAAACGCTACCTCTGCTTATTTCTTGCTGTTCTGTGGCCATAATACATCTCTGTGTCTTCATGCTTCACATTTGCTCTTCTGATATTCTTCTTTATGGCTTCTTTTTTTGTGAACTCCAGCATACATGTTCACTGGGAGCTAATTCTATGTGTTGTGAGAAACCCTAGCCAGGCAAGTCACAGCACACAGTCCCTTGCTGGACTGACGTGTGCAATAAGGGCACGTCACTCCTGTTTGTTGGCATATATTATTGCATTTACTGCCTTTATAGCCCAGCTCCCCAAAGCATTGTTTAAATACATGATAGCAGAGATGAAAGCAAACATCTCATGAAAAAGAAAAAAAGGAAATCTCATGTAGTTGTTACTTTTTGGCACCATGTAATTAAACCATCTTCTTTAATGCTATTTTTTTGCCAGTATCTAATTAGCAGAGCCATCTGGCGAAGGAGCGCTGGACCATCTGTCTGAAATGTTCTGTTTTTTTTTTTTTTAGTCCTTGGCTAATTAACTTCTTTTACTGTGAAATGTAATAATACATTCTTCTTTTATACTTTAAAAGAGTGCATATAAATAAATATATACGTACTTGTACTCGCCTACCCCATCCCTTGTGTGTATCCACCTAGCCATGGGAGCGCAGTTTTTCCAAGAAATCTGAGCATGCAGTTGGTTATGTGTGTGGTTTCCGGTGATGAAGGTGGAAGCCATGTGCTTTTTGTTTACCTGTAAGTATAGCTAGTAGTTACCTTAATTGTACATCAAATAGAAACTGATTGGCTAGTCTCTTCGTGATTGTGTTCCTACATTGCAAATTTTCTCTCTAAACTTATGTCAAAGTAATTAAAGCTATAAGTGTATAAAGTGACTATATTTGATTTAGCTGCACATGGTTTGGGTTTTTGTTTCTTCTGTTGTAGTTTGTAATATTTCTGAAAAATCGGAGAACAATTTAGATTAGGAGGGGTCTCCAGATGTCTCCCGTGAGAACTATCTTGGTGCTCAAGATAGTGAGAACTATCTTGAAATGAGAGGAGGACTTGAATATCATTCACTGCTTCCACACTTCTCACAGTTTTCTTTTAGATGCCTTGTATGATAGTTGAATAAGTCTGCTTAGATTGGAGATTTATTTCAGTTTCCTTTGGAGCTAATTGCTTTACATTCATGTAGGTTGCCCCCTAAAGACACAACCGATGACTTTTGAGCAAGATTTTGACACTGATGACAGCAAGGAAGTTACTAAAATACATTTACTGTGCAAAATAATACAATTATTTTTAATATTGTAATCTTTACATAAGGCTGATTGATGCTGGACATAGATTTTTCTTCATTTTGAACATAATAGTTTCACTATGTAGCTTGATTTGGAACTTGTTTCCTCTCTGGAATTTCTCTCCTCCCACAGTCCCTCAAAATTTCCATGGGGAATTTCATCCAAAGTTTTTGAAGTGCCTTACGAACATCAGTGATGTAATGTCTGAAAACACTGATAGAGTTATTTGCTACTGAGCTTGTACAAAAACATGTCTGACATCAGCTTGAGACTGAAGTATAAACCTAGACTTGAATGTGCACCAAAGATGTGTTTCTGTTCAGTCAGAAATCTGTATGGAGCTTCGTGTTTTGCGTATTTTTTGACAGAAGAAAGCAATCTGTGTTTTTTCAAAGATGACCCATGACTGGGTACAGGGGTGAGTTCAGCTCTCATAACTGACCACTCCAGCTGAATTTCTCAGGGTACAAGATCCCACTGTAGATGCTGTACTGCACTACTGATGTCTCTTAAAGAATTAAGGTTTATTTATGTCTCATGGAATGTAATTATGCTGAAAACTGGAAAACAGCAAATCAAGCCAAGACTTTAGCTTTATAAAGGCATTGAAGGAATTTACTGATAGCTGAATTGTAAAAGCCGTGCGTATAAATACTGTCAGCCTGCTATCAGAGACAGAATGATGCCCTGTTGTTAAACGCAGGTATGATCATGGTGCCCAGGTAGCACTTAGCTGATGCATGATCTGTTCTTGTTTTCTTCAGTATGAATGTTCAAATCCCTGTTTCCTTTTTCCTTACAGCAGGCAAGCTTGAGCACCTGTAATTTGCTTCAGTGTACTTTGTTGCCACATTAGATAGAATTAAAATATTAATTAATTATAAAATGACTACATAGAATGCTGAGGGCTGTGTTTTGTTAAATGAAAATTAGAGCTATTTATTAAGCATCATAACAGGACAAACTTAGGGTCTGTCTGTAAGCCTTGATTTTGGAACAAATAGCCAACATAGTGTACATTCTTTGCGCCACTCATCTGAACTTCATAGAGTTATTAGAAGACAGTGACAAGTAAGAGAATATGACAGTTAACATGAGGAATAGATGACACTAACAGTTTTAAGTAAATTGAATTTTTGCATTTGTTTTCATAAATAACACAATTTGCTTGTGCCAGTCTAATATTTCAGAACTAAAACTTAATCTTTTCCTGAGGGAAGAGGGGAAAAAAAAAACAAAAAACAAAAAACTAAAAGAACGGTTTTATTGTTGTTCTGAGATTTTGAGACTTTCTGTTTGGTGTTCATATGTGAAAGATTCAAGACACTTTTCTTCTCTTTCCTTCCCCATTTTACCTGAGATGTGTTCCATGTTATTTTCTCCCTTTACCTTATCAGTAGACCTTGTGGCATGTCTGAATTTCCCTTTTGTGGAAAATTCCTACAAATTCCCTGAAAATCCAAAGTCAGCTATATAAATCTTTCCATACACAGCCACAGTGCAATACTTTGGACCACTTAGCTCCCTTCAGATGCCTTTGTAACCTGTTTCATTTGGAGCCTGCTTTATTATTGTCCCATCAGCAATGGAACCCAGCATGACCTTGCAGCAAGCACACTTATATTTACTGTGTGTGCTTGTAGCAAACACATACATACAGTATGACCTGGTAGTGTGATTGCACCCATTTCCTATTTTCCAGACAATATGCTTTGTCATCAGCAGGATTTTCCCAGAAATACTGCATTTGGTTAGCTTGCAAACATATTTAGTTGTAATAATTTATCATTATCATTTACCTGGATTGCTGAATCAGTTGCTGTTGTATCCAGAAGTATCGTAGGATGATTTAACATTTCATATCCATCTTTTAATATATCCATTTCATGGGTGCCAGAAAAAGGGAAAAAAGTTTTCTTCCGGTTCTGCTAATAACAATGTTAGTGATTTCCTGACCAGTTTGCTGCTGGCATTGTGTAGTTTTCTTGGATTGCAGGGAAAGCCTGAAGAACTGTTTTCTTTGGCTTCTGAGCTTCTCCTCCCAAAAGACTTTGGCCTTTCTTTTCCAAAAAGCTTCAGCACCCAAGAAATGTTTGCTTGATTTGTGACATTGTGTGCTTATTGCCTTTTACATCTTTCTCCTTCAAACTACTCTTTTACCTTGGATTTCTGAGCTAAATGAAAGCTGGCTATTTTGTCACTGAAAATTGATTTATTGATAAACATTTCACTTTCAATTCAATCCTTATCTTTGTTACTGCTGTTCATTGCTTGGCATATTTCTCTCATTTTGTTTTTGGCATGAACTTTCCTTCAAACCTGCAATATAAGTACCCAGGTTCCAGTAAATCTTTCTCCTCTGACCTCCTGATGGTAGTTCTACTATTTCTCCAGGCATTTGAACCTTTAGTTGAATTTACAGATAACATATTCAGTGTCAGATATTTACATTGAGTGCCATGTGACATACAGATTCAGTGTGTCCTATTGGATTGGGTTGGGAGCTGACTAGACCTTTTGCTGCGTGTTTTACAGTATGGAAATAAGTTGCTTTTTGCATGGGAGTCAAAAGAGTCGAGCTATTGTTGACTTCTATTTAGCAACAGCAACAGGATGAGATTTCTTTCACATTGCTAGATGAAATTTGCTATAAATGTTGTGGTTATTCATACGTTGATTTTTCCAGAAGGTTTCCGAGTATCTCTATGTGCTGTAGTCAGTAGTCTGCAAAAGCCAATGCTTTAGATAGAAAGGCTTTGGGTGGAGGAAGAGCAATGATGGTGTTAGTTTTATAAGGCTGTCTTTCTTGGCCTGTTAAAGCTCAACCTTGAGCTTGTTGAAAAGCAAATCAGAGTACTGCATCAGCATTTTCCTTTCTGTTTAAACAGTTTTTCACCATATTTTCTTAATTAGCTATAGAGTCTGCTTGCTATTAGTACAGTCTTGATTAAAAGGCAGGTACAAAAACTACCTATATTATATCTGAATTAATTATCTTTCATAATTTCCTGGTAAATATAAGTGGAAAAGCTGTAGTTTCAGCTATTAGGCAACAGTGACTGGTTTAGAAATCTCAGTTTGTCCTGATTTAAAATAAAAAAATAATAATAATAAAAAAAAACACTGCTTTGTGGCATTTTCACCCAAAGAACACACAGATGAGGCCAAATAGTGGAGGCGGGTATCAAATGCACTCAGGTCCCACTATGTATACAAGCAGTCAGGGATGTACCTGTATTGGAATATCAGCACTAAGCATACGACCTGCTCTGCTGAGCCGTGGTGTTTGTAATCCATAGCTGTTGAATGTTAAATACGGAAATAATTGGGCTTAGCTCATGCACAGTGAAACTGTAGCAATGCAAACACATCTTAACAGTCCTGGCGGAAAGCTGTGAAAGACGAGTGGCAGCTCAGAAATGAGGGTAAACAGTATCAAATGCAACTGTGCATGCAGATGGAGATCACCAGATTTATTTTCACTGAAAACCTCTCACCAGCAAAATTGCTTTTCTGAAGGGAAGAAGCTTAGATGCAAATATAACTGGAATCAGCCCCAGTCAATGATGTGTATGTGCCTTAGGCCCGTTGTTCAGGTGTGGGCCTGGGTATCTCTGAGCTCGCTCTTTTGGTGTTCTCCACATTTATAACTTATTTCTTTTGGTTACAGGCCGTGGAGTGGGGATGTGATGAAGCTACTAAAAGATCCTGCTACAGCAAAGGCAAATCAAAGGTAAGTCCATGACAGCTCTTCTGCATAAAAAAAATTTGTATTACAATAGCAGGTGTCGCTCGGTGCTCACCTCTCCTTTTTGCATCCTTATTAAGACCCATTCCTTACTTCATATTTACTGAGGCTTTGATGAAAATAATATTCACTAACTCTGTAGACATGGGATTTGCCATATTTTTGGTTTTCCTAATCAAATCCTTATTTGGCCAGCTACAGTTTATTTATTCTGTACAGCAAATTGAAGTGCAATATGAAGATAGGTAGTTTTGATGCTATATTCTTCAGTGAATGTTCTGAACTGAAATTAATTATCAAAATAATTATGAAATCAGAAGTCCATGCAGTTAATTATTTTTCTGCTTAATAATTAAAATTAATTGAATCAAGTGTAAAGAAAAAACTCAGAAATGCATGAAGAGCACTAACTACAAATTTGACCCTTGATTTCTGAACTTCCATTCAGTAGAACAGGCCAGAATATGGTATTGATCCCCAAAACCTGAAAAGATGCAAGCTTCAAAAATATATCCCAAATGCTTCTGTCATCGAGTAGAGTTGGGGTATCTTCTGCCTCATCCATTGCGTACTTGTAATTACTGCCTTTTAATCTCTCTCTTCAAACAGTTAATACCAGTTTTTCTTAGCAAAGCTTGGAAAAATGTACCAGGGTAGCCCTGGGATATCCGCTTCCTTCCGAGAATGAAGAACAACAAGGCTTAATTTGTGACACATGACCAAATTATATTTTGAGGAAAGAAAAAGGCAGGATTATTTGGGGAAAGAAAGGAAGAAAGAGAGGAAGAGAGAGTGAGTATAGTGAATATTCAGCATAAAGCTTCATGTAAGAAAGTTGGTTGCCTTTATGGAGGAACAGCTTGCGCCAGAGAAATGGGCTTGCAGTCTTGAGGAAAGGCTGGGAGCCTGAATAGGGGAACTTTCTTGTTCTCCCATCCTTCTGCTCCTGTTGTAGTATAGGAAACATTTATATAAGAGCTACTGGTCACTACACATTAGCATGCAGGATATACTACATGTATTAACAGTTACTTAAGGAAAGGAATGAGTGAGATTTTACTTAAAGACTTGTAGCTCCAGAAGCCAATTTCATGATAAAGTTTATGCCTCTATTTTACTATGTGATTTTTGAAGTTTAACGCTCTGAGAATGACATTCATGTCATGTTTGAAAGTCACAGTGCAGTGACTGTAATCTAACATGATGAATTAAAGTAGAAGTAAATTTGAAAGTATACTAGTCTACTTTGAATATTACGTTGACAGTACTGTGTGTGATTTAATATCCAGACTCAATTCCACAACACAGAGGCATACATTTCTATTAAATAATTTTGCTAGGATAAATACTTGACATTCATGTATATAAGAATGGACCTTAGTAGTGTAGCACATAAATAGGTTTTTTTTTGTTCCTGCTTATTGCACCCTTTCAAAAAAGTAATGAGTGTCTTCACAGCAGTGCACTGTCCCTGTTGACGCAGCTACCATACAATGCTACATACACTTTTTAAATAAAGACCTCCAATATTGTTTCATAGTATTGGATAGAGATTCAGTGTTTGATTTGGATACATAGCCTTATTCCTCATTTATATCTAGAAGATATTGGATTTCCCTTGTATTCCTGGGAGAAAATAAGTCTTTGGTTATTGTTAGAGTAGTTTTTTTTCAGGTGGACAGCCTTTGCTAAGGACCTCACAGCCTGAAAGCCTCATGTGGGAATTGCTGGAGAGCATAGCAATATTAAAGGAGACCGCTGACCAAAAGAGAGGGTCAGCTCTTGAGTTTGGAATTTTCTTTGTCTCTTTTGCTTTCACTGAGGTGATGAAAGTTAAAATGAAAAGATAAATTTAGCCTGAAAATGTTTCCGTCTTTTATTACCTTATGTCCAAGATCAAAACAAACTTATGACATAGGATATACTTCCTAAAAGCCATGCCCTCTGCGTAAGGAGAACTTGTGCATAAAGATGAGCAGAACACCTTGTCTGTGACGTGCTTCCTCTTTTTGGTCAAGCCAGTCTTCTCATGGGAAAAACTGGGAATTATCAGCTCAGAAGGAATATGCTACAGTGCATATTAATTGTGTGTCTATGGAGAAATCAGAAGCTCCAATACAGCCCTAGTAATTTTTGGATAATGTTCAATATGGTCAGTTAAACATGACTTCACGGCTTTTTTTTTTTTTTTTTGAAAGAAGCGGCACTGAATTTTTGCCTCTAGCAGTTATCAATAGTTGCCATTCTGAGATTTCTGAAGCCAAGGCGGGAAAAGTGTTGGAGAGGAAAACATATAGGGACATCTGTCACATTTGATAGTGTGATGCACACTTAACCTTCAAAGGCTGTTATTTGTTACTTCAACTTCATACTTTTATCCACCATAAGCAGCTGCTTAAACTAGCTGGTGGATGAAGGAGATGATAGAGAAAGTGATGTCCTTGTGGCCAGCACACGTTAGGATTTAGAAGTCTAAAACAAGTTAAGAGAATAAATTTGAGGATTTGGTCTGGCACTTGTGGAAGAAGGCATTACAAAGGAAAAGCGTACATAAGGTAAAAAGTAGAGTAAACCAGTGAAAGATTGGAAAAATAAACTATAGAAAAGTCTTTTCCCTTTGTTTATTCAGGATTCTAATGACTGAGTGCATCACCACCCCAACTTTTAATACAATCTAATAAAATAATGCAAATATATTTAAATGAAAGAATGTATAATAAAATGAAATGTATTTAAAATGTTAGTGTTTTTCTAGGGGAAATTATATGGCAATGGGACAAAAATCAGATGCAGAATAAGGCTATGGAGAAGAGGCTCTTCAAACATAGCAGCATCCTGCACTCTGAAAAACTTTTGCTTTTAAAGTCTACTGAATTCACAAATGCCACTTTTGTGACAGAGACTTCTTTTTAATATATCCAAAAAGTGAACCAGCATAGCTGAGCATGGCCCCAGAGCTGGAAAACTTGCTCTGAACTACTCAAATGACTAACAAACTGACTGCTTTTTCAGTATGTTTTTGGGGGGAGGGCGGGAGCTGCTTAATTCATGGCTCTTTGTTTAATTTGTTTTCTTTTTATTGGGCCTTTGCTGTATGAAGAAAATATCTGATAGTTCAAGTAATTCTTTGTGTTTTGATTTGATTATACGATAACAAATGTGACATGAGAAGTATTATTTTCCCTGCGCTGTGAATTGTTGCAAAGTTGGCTTAGAACTTTGGAACAAGAAGAATCTTATGAATTCCCGGAATGTTGGTGTTCAAAAAATGAACATTATTTTTGGATAGAAAGAGTGGGTGACTATTCTGCAATTAAGTTGGCAAAGGCACTGTTTCAGGGAGCTCTGGAAGATGAGGAGGAGAGGTTGTCTACATTGCAATGCCAGAACCCACTTCTTTTTCCTACACTTACATTCCATGACTTGCTGCAAAGGGCAGCAAAATGGCAAAAGTTCAAAAAAAAATCATTTTATAGAACTGTCTTTGACTATCCTTCTCACAAAACAAAAAGCCAAAACCTTAGTTCATGTCTTGTTAGTTAAAATAATTTACATCAAGCAAAATGTCCATAATTGGCATACTATTTTCTTAAAAGGTTTTAGGTTTTTTGGTTTGTTCATTTTTTGGAGTTTTTTTGTACCACCGAACTCTGTTATATGGTAATGTATTTTCTTCTGTATGGTTGAAATAATATTTTGCTTTTCAGTCTGTTTTTAGATGTTCATTTTCTTCAGGATTAATTTTTTGTTTTCCAGGATTAAAGTCTATTTGCAAGATACACAAGCAACACATTTATTATAGCTGTAGGCCAGAGAATGGGACTTCTATGCTACTACAGTTATATGGATGGAGTTGCACATTTCCACTTAATACCAGTTAATGTAGCTGATTTTTTCACATGATTTTATTGTTTTATCAGAGGCTGTCTAGATGGAGTTGCATATTTCCACTTAATACCAGTTAGAGTCATGTAGCTGAATTTTTCACAAGATTTTATTGTTTTATCAGAGGCTGTCTTGCGAATGAATGCTATAAAGCACTTCAAAGAAGTATGCAAGGGGAAGGGCAAGAAGTTTTTCTCTTCAAGGCTATTGCTATTTTTCATTATTATATAAGAGAGGTATTTGTTTTTGCAGGAGGATTTTTTGCATATTTCGTCTATACACTTTGGAGAGATTGTTATTGTTCCAGAAGGAAAGTTGCTGTGTGATGTTGCACTAGATATTGCTATTAGTGCCTAGCTTTGGAAATGAGACAAATTAAAGACGCGCAAAGTCTTCACACACTATAATAGGGTAAAAAAACATCTAAGATCATTCCTGGGGGTGAGCTTATATGTATTGAGGTGATGAAATTTTGGAGATTTTCTTGAGATGTGTGTGTCCTGGATGTAATTAAGTATGCTTTTAATATACTAGGCAAAGCATGAAACTAGCAGTAATAGATCTGCAACTGAACATCTTTTCTAGAAGTTCGTTTGTAACAGTTTCGCTTACTCTTGCTAGGGTCAAGTTGTTCTTTCTCTTGTCTTTCTCCGAACTTTCTCTCTTCGCCTGTCTTGAAAAACAGTCATCTGATATCTTGAGGCATCAGTTTATTTTTCAGGCCATATATATTACTTCAGAGCATAGCTAAACCTTTAAAATGCACATTTATAGATCTCATCAGTACTGAAGAGTTTTATTGTCATCCCACTCATAGCTTTTTTACACGGATTAATCATTTGGCATCTCTATATGTCATGATTGATACCAGCATGGTTAAACTTAAGTCTTGCTCATGTGAATTTTAATGTGTGGACACAAAGTCACGGAAAGCAGGTGGTGACTGGTCTCCCCTCTCCTGCAGAGTGTCCCTAACATGTGGTCTCTTTTCTGTCTGCCAGGAGGAATGCCAGAACTATGTTCGTGTGCTCCTTGTTGGAGGCAACCACCTCTTCACCTGCGGGACCAACGCGTTCACTCCCATCTGCACCAATCGCACGGTATGAGTTAAGTGTTGACCCTCGCAAGCCCCCTGCATGTCCCAGACCAGCTGATGAGGTAGAACGTGCTATGGTTGGGTCCAGGCTACTTCTGCAAGTAGCCCTTTTTGTACATTGTGTGTGTGTCCAAGAAAGGGAGCCCGTTAAGAATCAATGACCACTATAATCAAAACATCACTGTTTGGACTATGTTTACTCTTTATTTCAAGAGTAGAAAAGAGTCTAAATACGGAAAATATAACAACTAAAAAAACTCCTTGGCACATTTACCATATTTAATCTTATTGCACCTTTATTTTGAAATAACATATTAGCATTATAGCATAATGCAACTTTATTTGAGTATTGGTAGTAAGTCACACAGATAGTTCCACTGAATTCAAAGCCTATTTTCTGGAGAAATATTCTTTATTTGTGGTTCTTTCCTTAGGTGATTCTAGCAGTCAATTTTTTGTTTTGTTTTGTTTGTCTGCTTGTATTTTAAGGCAGCAGACTGTAACCGTATATGTAGATTTTGGGTTCTGTTTGCCAAAGAATAGGAAGTTTAATAACCAGGCTACTGATAAAATATATATGCTTTGCTATTATTAATATCATCAGTTTAGTTAATTTTGGAGTTGCTTCTAATGCAAAACATTTTAGCTTGTTAACTAATAATGAATTTTCCACCCAAAGTGGAAAAGAGGGATCAGACAACATTACAATTAGATCTTCTGTACCAGATAGTTTGAGATAGATGGAAAGGTCAGCTCATTGCTGCCACAAATACCAAAGCAGATAATATGTGTGTATGGTAGGATTTTGGCACAGTGGATGCATCTTGGCTGAAATTATAATTTTCTTGTGATTTTTAATTTCTTCTCTCTCTTTTAGTTAAGTAACTTGACAGAGATACATGACCAAATCAGTGGCATGGCTCGTTGTCCGTATAGTCCCCAACACAACTCCACTGCTCTTCTCACTTCCAGTGGGGAGTTATATGCTGCTACAGCCATGGATTTTCCGGGAAGGGATCCTGCCATTTATCGCAGTTTGGGGGCCCTTCCTCCTCTCCGCACTGCACAGTACAACTCCAAGTGGCTGAATGGTGAGTACTGCTAAGCCATGAGGCTCCTGCATTTATGTCCTGTGTTTGTCCGATTCATTTTCTTGAAAACTCTATCTGAGAATGTGAAATTACTGGAATATTGTTTTCTCCCTTTAAAATTATTTTGCAGGATGCATTTTGAACGTACTAGTATTACTATTGCAGTTATTACTGTTAGAATTACTGTGGTATAGAAGCCAGCAAACATATATGATGTTGTTTTCTGTACTTTGATGCAGCATATCTTTAAGGGAAGCTGCTTATATTTCCTTCTAATACATATAACTGCAAATACATTTCTCATAAATCTTACAGTTCGTAGAAGATGCATACATGAATGTATATATGAGAACGTGTTTATCTTTAGCCATAGGAGCAGTGCCATTAACTTTATGGACTATGTGTTGCATGAACATGTGCGTAAGATATGCCTCATTTTGGCCCAAAAGGAGTAATAGCTGTGAATGCAGATGTGATAGTTAACTTCAAAAGTGTGAGGGGTTTTTTTTTTTTTTTGGTTAGTTTTTTTGTTTTTGTATTAATGATTCCTTGAGGAATAAACTGAATCCCTGATGTAGGTGAGAAGCTACCACTTTAATAGTCATCCATGTCCACTTTTTCCTTCATGTCTTCCAAGGCATCATGGATCAATTGCAACCATAGTGGTTTGAAAATCCAGTTTGTAAAGTAACAATGGACTTGATGCTGGTTTCTTTAACAATTATAATAATTTATAATAGATATAATTATATATAATTATTATTATGCAATAATTTAATAATTAAATATTATTTGAGCCAAAAAAAGACATGGCAGCCTTCCTACAGAAGCATGTTTTCAACAAAAACAAATGCAGGCCTCTGAGTAATATTTAAAATCCCTAATCCAGAGCAGGAGTGTGCAGCAGGTTTGCAAATACATGAACAGCTACAGATATATGAAGATTTGAAATGAAAAGGTGTAAGACTTGTACTTTGGGAGCTGAGCTGGCAGAACTGCTGCTGTCAGCGAAGGCTCAGTGTTTACACTGTTGTGTAGCAAAATGTAAATATAGCTGCAGCTTGTAGAAATGCGTGCTTAGATGTTTAAATTGTGTTTGCAAGTGGAGGGATGAACCACACAGGCTCTTTCAGGTGTGGTACATGGAGAGGTTGAGTCAGCCAAGAGCAGTAGCTTGAATGTTCTGTAGTTAAATCCTTTGGAAATTCAAGACAAAAACTGAACAGTTTAAAATAGACTGAATATTCCTGCCTTTTCTCTATAGGTCCTAGTCTTGACAAGAAAAAAAAACTAAAAAAAATAAAACTAAAAAAACCCTTGTGCTTTCAAACTGCTTATGTTGCAGACTAGCGTTTTTGAACAATGGAGACTGGAGTGTAACACCTATCATAGTCGTGCTGCAGCCATGCCTCCTATGTCAGGGTATTAATCACCTCATGGAGATTTCCAGCTGGGAGAAGCAGTAAACTGACAGGATATACTGATATATAGCAGGACCACTTGCCAGCTAATTTATGTGTTGCAAAGAAAGAAGAGATTCAGATTCTTATAAAATGAAATTGCCATTTAGTGTAAAATGGACAATTACGTATGTTATAATTTGAACCATGCTAGTCCTGCAAGAAAAAAAAATCATATTTTATAACCAGTACTAAGTGGCATCGCAGTGACCATCAGGCCCTGTTCCTGCAGTGCATTTCATGTTATGATGGGATTTTTTTCTCAGATTTGAAATTGGAATATAAAACCCTTCTAACTTCAGAACATTAGGGTCAGTGATAGACTTCATGTTAAGTATTTCAGTCCACATATATGGACTCATAGGTATCTGTGTTCAGGCAGCGCTTACCGGCCCAGCTATGATATAGGAATTAGTTGCTGTGCTGCACCTGGGTGCTTCTTTCACAGTGAAAATACCCTTTCTACAGCGTTTTCATTTTAACTGGCTGTGTCTTCTGTCAAAGGACACAACAACATTCCTACCCAGCTCCTTTCTCAAAACTGCTGTAATTTATCACATTGCCTATATTTACATTTTGTCTATTAAAAGCTTCAGCTGTACCTATAAATTTTCCGTTAAACCTCGTTCTCCTACCTCAAAAAGGGTGTTTAGAATTAAGTTGCCAAGAGAGTGTGGATTTTATCTTTGGAAGGAAAAACAAGATGAGTTTTGTAATTGGCACTAATTCAAGGAAATCCAATAAAAAGATGGAAGCAGCCCAGCAGCACAAGGGGGAGAGCAGCTCTTCAGGGGGGGCCTCATCTGTTTTTAGCTCTACTTGCCTGCTCATGTAGGACTCCCATTCTGCCAAGAAACTACATTAGTTTTTCAGTGCTTGGATTGAAGTGAAGACTCTTGCTAACTTTTGAGGGGGAAGTAGCATAAAAGATAAATAAAGCAGGTGGAGCAGCAGGAAGGGGAGCATCCTACTCCATACCCATGAGGCAGTGATAGATGACAGTTGCTTTAACGGAGCTGTGTTGCTGGGGTCTGTGTGTGTGTCTGTGAAGTGGTCTGTGCAGAGATTCCATTTTTTCCCAATTAGATTTGCTGCTCTGTAAATCACTTTGGACTGACTTAAATGGTCTCTGTGGGTGACAGCAATATTTTAAAACTCAGTCAACTCTCTTCTGTGCTTTATTGCCAGCATATAGCGACACCGTTGTCTTAGTGGCTCGGGGAGTTGTCTATGTACTGAGCGGTTTCCAAACCCTCCAGTCCAACCAAAGGGATGTGTCTAATACTTTGGAGGTCTGCTGTCACCACTCATCAGGTCTTTTAGTGAAGGACCTGTCAGTATAGAAGAAATCTTGTTTCTAATCTTAATTGCCAGAAGGTCAGTAGTCACTGGAACTGTGATACGTGCTGTGGAAAGGAGAGACGGAGCTGTTGTATCACAGGGCTGGGGCCGAAGCCCATGTTCCATGCTGAGAATTCAATTTGTGGAATCACAAAGATCAGAAATAGAAAAGTTTGGATTGCTGGCTTTGCTGAGCTTCCAAGTTCATTCTGGATTAGTCGAAGTCATGTATTTATGATTAGGTCCTCCCTTCCGTTGGACTCTTGAGGGATTTGGAAGTAGTCCATGGCAGCTGACTAGGCACATAAGCAGTGTTTTCAGCATACACGACTGAGCACCATTCTCATCAGGTGCTTAACCTTAGTAGGGCATGAACTTGCATTGAACTTCTTGACTCATTGCACTTCAATTTCTGTATAATCATTTTTGTGATGCACTCAACACTCAATTATCTGGTGTGGTGAGGAGCTGGGATAGCTTGGATAAGAATATGAATTATTCAGAACACATGTAAAATTAAGCTTCAAGAATTTACTGGGAGAGTATAACTAAGAGGCAAAACTGAAGTTCAATAACATGGTCGTATGGGAAGTATCCATATCCTGATCTAGCACAAATGATAAGGGGACAGCATAGCAGCACTGTGCAGGCACAGTGCAAGGGTTTCTGAATATGCTGCTTATTCACCCACTAGATGATCAGAATATTCAAGTTTTGACTTGGCTACGTTGTCTCCATTTTGTCAGTTTTAACGACAGACAGAGCACTTGGCCAGTTGTTACAGCTGTCTGACCATCTCTTAGGGTTTTTTTTCTGATTTTTAATTTTTTTGGAATGTAAATAGTCATGCCCTCATTATTTCTAAATATATTGACAGTGTTTACCTTAGTACTTCCTTCCTCTCCTGCAAAAAGAAACTAATGCTCTATTCACAGAGCCTGTTTTTGGCTTTCTGTGCTCCTATAGGCAACACTGAATGCAGCTGACCAGATGCAGTGAGCAGATTTTTGACAGATAATGATCTGCTCGACTCCGTAAGATGTGGTTGAAGAACTAGACTTAACATTACGACCTGAGGGTTCACCATAGTTCAGCAATTTACAGACCTGCTTGCTCACTAGGAATTTATTAGCTGACACTACAGTCACTCAACTGTCCTATCTATCTATCTATATATAATTTTTCCAACTCTGTCACTATTCTCATCCAAAAGGATCCTGTTGTCCTGGCCAGTTAGCAACTGGTGCAGACCAGCAGCTGCCTGAACGGTGCTAAATCTGAAAGCATGAAAAGGAGAAACCACCTCTCTCTCTTATGATATCCTGATTCTTTTCCCATGTTCTGAAATAAATAATGCTTGAAGTTACCCACAGAAATACAGATAGATAGCTATAAATATAGCTTAAAACTTGAAGAAGATAGAAACTATAACTTATTCCTTAAGATATTTTGCCCATATATTGTCCATATATAGCAGATAATTCTGCAATGTACTGTTTTTCTGTGAGTCTATTTTTAATTACTTCTCTGCTTGAGAGAAATGATATGAGGTCATACAGCACACATTACTTCCAAGTAGGCAGCTTTTCTGTTTATTTCTTCTCCTTGACCAGAGCTATCATTAAAGCCTTGAGCTTCAGCCAGTCACTCAGCTCAAAGGGCAGCATGATGCTTGAACTTGTTAAAATCACCTTAGTTGTATTTCATAAAATGAGTAGTCTGTCTGGTTTAGAAGATATTAAATGACAGCAAATAAATCTTTCGTTAATAAAAAATTGATTGATTTACAGCTAGCATGCTGTTTATTTGAGTCTGACTCTCAGTGTAACACAGTTTTATCACATCCAGAGCTGACCATCCTAGTGTTCTTCTAGCTGGGCTTCCTTTTGGAGCTGATCTACAAGATGCAGCAGGGGCAGACATTGTCACTGTTTGGTCTGTTGGGTAGAGTTAAATAGTTATATTTGTATTCCACCAACTCCAGTGGATTCAGATTGAGAGGAAAGGTTTGTTGTTTACACTTGAAAACTTTTTTCTCCATTCCAGCATTTACAGGTCGTAGTGGCATTTCTCTTTTCAAATCACCTCCTTAAAGTGACGAGTGTTTGGTTATGATCAATGTTTATTTTGGGCTACACGGGTCTGTTTGCTTTGTTCAGACAATAAAAGGGCGAAACAGATTTAAGAAAAAAATAAACT